TGGCAGTAGTGGTAGTAGCAGTAGCATATAAACATACAGTATTAATGACAGAGAGGATTCATCTTTCTCTTTGTTCAGCGAATTATATGTATGGTTACCCACGTGAGAAAACATGTTTGTCTTTCTAGATCTCGATGAGAAATTAGCTTCTGTAAAAAGTAGTTATTGTTTTTCCTGGTTCCTTATGAATAAAATATTGGTGTTATTTTAATCCAGTAAATCAGAAGTACCCTTTAATCCATCTGGTACCTATTGAGTCTCTATTTCAGAGAAATACACTTATCTGCAATACTGGCTTATAGTACAGTAGATCTAGAATACACACACACACAGTTTAAGCTTTAATGAAGTAAGACTTTTGGAACCCTCTGTATGTATATATGTATAACTCTTATTTTTCTTTGTTTTCCAAGCCTCTTGAATAATGCTGTCATCACATAATTCTTATAAAAACTTCAAGGCTTTTTAAAAAAATCAATTTACTCCAAATGTAAAATGTTCACTTTACAAAAATAATCACCTATTAGCATATAAATAAAAATAATCATATAATAAGGATTTTTAACTAGGGATATGATATTCCAGGATCTAAACTAACACATAATGTTAATATTTTGGCCATTCTTGAGTCAACTCAAGTGTCTAGTTCCCTTTTTTTCCCATATCTGTACCCATACTTGTTCTAATTCTTATGTTACAAATCAAAAATCAAATTGAAAGTAACATTAGAACATGGAAATCTGCATTTATTAGTGGGGCATTCAGAGATTAGGCTGAGTCAGCAGTTCAGTAATATTTTTTAATGTCAAATATGGTAATCTCACTATAAAGTTTAATTTAATGCTAAAAGTTGTTTCCTAAATATGCGTATCTCATTTGATTAATATAAATGTATTTATATGTACTAGAAAGAATATTCATTATCTTGTGTGCCACAGAACTGTCATCAGGATTCATTCTATAAATCATTAAGATCAAACCTTGCATATTTGAGGAATGGTATTATAGAACTTGATAGTTAAGAGTATAACAATATCCACAATAATATAAAGGAAAACAACATTGAAAGACTTAAGAATTCTGATCATGTAGTGTTCATTTGTGGCTGAAGAGGACTGGTGGTGATAAATGCCTCCAACTCAGTGGTAGAAAAGTGGTGGATTAAGGTGTGGAATGAGGCATACATTATCAGACATGGCCAAAGTCTTGATTTGTTTTGTTTGATTGTCCTAATTTTTACCAAGTAGTTCTTTTAGGCTGGGTGTAGTCAGGAAGTGATAGTTATATCAAAAATTAAAAAGCATCAATAAAATTTTTTTAGTTTTTGAAGGCCAAAAATAGAAAAATAAAACAAAATAGATCATAACTACCAACATAAATAACATGTTAAATACTCATATTTTCTTTCTTCAAATGAAAAACCTATTTGAGGAAATTGGAGAGAGATAGTTAATGCTGTGGATGTTGCATCCATTTTGAAAAACATTTGGAAGCAAAAGCCTTATGCAGATGATAGAAAATTAATATCAGTACGTTTTGCCTGTCTACTTCTTTCTCATTCACTTCTAAAAGTGAAGCAGCATGTCACAGTAAAAAGTACAGTGACTCTGGAATTTTAAAAAACCTGGATTAAAAACTGCTCTTTGACCCCTTACTACTCTATGGGTGTTGGTCAAATCACATAACTTTCCCCATTTTCAGTTTCCTCATCTGTAAAAGGAAGGAGGGGCAGCTAGGTGGCGCAGTGGATAGAGCCCTGGCCTTGAAGTCAGGAGGACCTGAATTCAAATTTGGCCTCAGACACTTGACACTTACTAGCTGTGTGACCTTGGGCGAGTCACTTAACCCCGACTGCCTCACCAAAAAGCAAAAGAACAAAAAGGAAGGGGTTGGACTAGATGGCCTTTGAGGTTACTCAGCTGTAGATGAGTTCTTAATCTTTTTTTGTGTTGGGAACCCCTTTGGCAGTCTAGTGAAGTCTGCAGAGCCCTTCTCAGAGTAAAGTTTTTAAATGCATAAAATAGAATACATAGTATTATAAAGAAACCCAATTTTGATGAAATAAAGTTACCAAAAATTTTTTTTTAATTCATGGACCTCAGATTAAGAACCCCTGCTCTAGATACCTGATACTATGAAATGTCTTATTCCCATGACCACTTAAAAAATAGGAGAGGAGCAAACTTTTTTTGTATGGAGGCCTTTTAATTGCAGTGGCAGCCATAATAGTAGTAGTAGTATATAAAGCACACAGTGTTAATGACAAAGAGGATTCATGTTTCTATTTGTTCATTGAATTGTGTGACTCTACTTTTTGATCTCCAATTTATTTTTTACTCATTATATCCTACAGTTTCAGAGATCGTGTCTATTTGACTGCCAAAGGCTTCGCTCATTAAACATCTTGATTCTTTTTGTCAAAACCTGAGAATGTTTCTTAGAAATAATGTTTGAGGATACCTACTACTCCTTTCAAACTGTTTTAAATATTATTAAAACTCTACTCCTTGTCTTTAGCTGTTCTTATAAAATTGTTACCTCAGTGTTTTTGTTTTCAGTTTAATCATTTATCAATGTAATTCCCATGTACTTTTCCTTCCATTCCCATAATGTTTAAAGCCTTTGTGTAAAAATTCAAAGCAAAAACATCTGCCAAAAGTGATTTTGAAATGTACTTTCATCTTATTTTTGTCTTTTGTCTTTTTTTCAGAGATTCTTCCTTCTCCTACCCTATCAACTTTTTAGATAGGTAGGATCAGTCATGTCTGTGTAGAGAACAGTATTTGGAAGTTTTTTGTTAGGAAGTTACATGCATTCCAAAACAGAATTTATATCAGTGATTTAATGTACTTATTTATATAGTTATATATTTATATAAGTAATTTAAAATCAAATTGTGTTACAAGCCTTTGAAACATTTCTCTAAGGAAAAGCAGCACATTTTATATATATACATATATATATATATATATATACACACACACACATTATATCTTATATATATTATATATAAGGGGAGAGTTCTGATTTCAAAGGAAAAGCAACACATTAACAAAAATTTGTGATGGGCCATCACCAGCCATCTTTTTTTAAACACAGATTTTAGGTAGTTGTTTTGGTATTTCTGTTTAGGAAAATAGTGCCTCTGTGGTCAAATAAATAGTCCTCTATTTAGTATCTACATCACTTCATAACCTGACCCCTTCCTACCTTTCCAGGCTTCTTACTATAGTCTCCACCACACATTCTTTGATGTGAACTGGGCTACTTACTGTTCCTCCCAAATGACTGGTCCCCATGCCTTTCTACTGGCTATCTCCCATTCCTGGTATGCCACCCTTATTCACCTCTTAATTTCCTCCTTTCAAGTCTCAGCTCGAATCCCACCTTCTTCAGGAGACTTCTCTGATCCCCTCCATTGGGTGGCTTTCACTCTGAAATTCCCTCCCATCTACTCTGGTGTACTTCATTATTTACATGTTGTCTCTCTCTCATCCCTTTTAGAATATGAGCCCCATGAGGGCGGGGACTGTTTCTGTCTTTCTCTGTATCCCCAGTACTTATCACAGGACTTTGCACAAAGTAAGCACTGAAATGCTTTTCAGTTGATTGATCGTTTTATTTTCTCTTAACCTGGCCTTTCCTCCCCTAGACATAGGACTTTATTGACTTTGCAAAGACCATAAAAAAGAAATCCTTATGTGGGCTCAAGAAAATAATATTTTGTATTTTTCTGCATATATTCTACATATTTCCATATGTATGTAAGTGTTATTTCCACTAAGAGAACTGAGCTCCTTGAGAACAGAGACGGTTTCATTTTTTTTTTGTCTTTGTATCCCCAGCACTAAGCACAGTGCCTAGCACATAGTAGACACTTAATAAAATACTTATTTTATAAATTGGTTGGATAGCAGTGAGACACATAACTTCCCCAGAACTAAACTGTACTGAAACCAACTCCAGCCTTGGTTTGGGAAGGAGTAAATTGCTTTTGGCAGGGAAGGGAGGAGGAAGGGTTAGATTAAAGGTATACAGCTAATGTTTCCCCATGTGAGTTCCTAAACTATATTCAGTTATGCTGAATCTTCATGGTTTACTAATTATGATGATCTACTCAGAATTTTAAAGCTTAACTTAATTTTAAAACTTAGTGAGTTACTTATTAATGGATTTACCTTATAGGTGGTATTTTGCCTTTGGCAATCAAGTCTCCCCTTAGAGATACAATATTTTATTTATATTTGTGTGTATGTGTGTATGTGTTTGTAATTTCTAAGTCAGAAATTTCTATGGTAAGTAGGGAAGATACAGTGCGTACTAGTAAAGGATAAAAGATTATTCGGGAGAAACAGTACTAACCTAATTACAGAAATTTCAAAATTAGCCCTAACTTCGTGATAACTTCTTTTTGACAATATTGTGGTAAAGAGTCATGCTTCAGGTAAGCATCGTATCCTCTCAGGTCCCTTTCTCTAGGATTTTGATGATATACGAATTTCAGGAGGAAACTAAGTGGTGTAGTGAAGAGAATGTTGAACTAAGAATCTGAAAGACCTGTGTTTGAATATTGCCTCAGACATTTACTAGCTGTGGGATCCTGGACAAGTCACTTAACTTCCATCAGCCTCAGTTTCTTCATTTGTAAAATAACATTAATTATAGCACCTACCTTACACGGTTGTTGAGAGGTTCAAATCAAATGAGATAATGTATGTATTTAGTAAATCTTAAAGTGATGTGTAAATGTTAACTATTATTTTTGCTTTTTTTAAATTCAAGGACCATACGTTTAAGGGCAGCTAGGTGGCACAGTGGGTAGAGCACCAGCCCTGGAGTCAGGAGGACCTGAGTTCAAATGTGGCCTCAGACCAGACACTTGACACTTACTAGCTGTGTGACCCTGGGCAAGTCACTTAACCCCAATTGCCTTACCAAAAAAGAAAAAAAGAAAGAAAATGTAACATTAAAACCTACATTCAAGAAAGTAAAAATAATTACATCTCTGAACTGTTATTGATAACTTACTGCTGTACCAAGATAATGCATAGAATGGATGGAGCAAGTTCCTCTTCCAATTCTCTGTTCCAAAAATTAATTTAATATTTTACATTCCAGTAAAGATCATCAGATATCAAACTGTTAAGAACAGATAATTTGACTTTATTCGATCACTGCCTGGTACAATGCAAAATGTTATTATAAATTTAGCCACACAATTAAGTTTATGGCAGGTCTGCCCAGTGTGAAAGGCTGTGTGACACAGGGTAAGCTACTTACCTTCTCTATGCCCTAGTCACTTTTTAAGATGTTGTATGTCGCAGAGAAGGTCATAATATGCTTTGGTAGAGTTGAGTTTCCTCTTCTAGGAGTTCCCTCTATCAGTAAAACCAGAGGTCAGTCTCTATCACCTATTTGAAATGTATCCTAATAATATATCTTAACTTCTATTTATTCAGGATACTTTATTGAGAATTTGTACATAAAGCAAAAGTGTATGTAAGTCCTGGAGTGCCCAAACTACAAACTGTGGCATGAAGCAAAATAACCAAGTATACTTACCACTATGCTTCAGTTTCTATATAAAGTAAGATGAGGCTAGATCATCTCTAAGGCCCCTTCTACCTTCAAATGGATTAAGTGAAACCATCTGTTTTGCTTGTAGCCAGTTTTTTTTTTTTTTTAAGTTATTGTGCTGGTTTCCTGTGTTGAATTTATAGGGGAGCCTAAACAAAAATAACATAGGATGAGTAGTCACAGTTAAGTTGTGATCTGCGTCATTGGTGGGAATACCCACGTATCAGTGTGATCATAGATTCACAGAACTATTTGAGCATGAAAAAGTCAGTTTGGTATAACAAGAAGAACACTAAACAAGGAGGTGAAGTTGTTGGTTAGTCATGTCTGACTCTTTGTTACCCCCTGGACAGTACTGTATGGGGTTTTCTTGGCGCGGACACTAGAGTGGTTTGCCACTGCCTCCTCCAGTGAAATAAGCAAACAGGTTGATTTGCCCAGGGTCAGGCAGCTAGTGTCTAGGGCCAAATTTGAATTCAGGTCTTCCCCGGCACTCTTTCTACTGAGTCACACCTTAGAGGTAAAAACTTGAGTTTAATCCTTCACTTATTGGAAATTTGCTTAAGTCCTCTGAGTTTATTTCCTAATATATATAAAATGGCAATAATAATACCTGATGTGCATCACAGGATTGTTGCAAGTACTTCAGAGTCAGTAACACTGGCCTAAAAAAATATAAAATAGCGTCAGCATTGTTGTAGAAGTACATTCCCATGGGGTAGAAATCATTGGCACCAGGATTTTTAAAAATTACTCTTTAGAATATTAATATTCATTTCACAAGCATTATATCTGTCAGTTCTTTTTGTCCACATGCTACCTATAGTCCTCAAAATAAAATCTGACCACATGTTTTCAGATTTCAAATGTTTAATTTAATTTAAAAGCCCATGTGCTTTTGAAAGTTTTCACAACCCACTGACCATGCCAGATAGTAAAATTCACTAGATTTAATCCATATAGGTAAAGATGACTTTTCAGACCTCAGGCTGCCATAGGTCATAGGTACTATTGCACTAATCTAGGAAATAATTGGTGAAGAGAATAAAGGGATTCCATCTCTTTAAATGACACCAACCCTGGTATGAATATTGGGATTTAACGAAGTATGTTAGTCAAGTGATCATTATAGATAGCTTAGATAAATATGTGCTGCTAGTTAACCTTTTGAGTTTTATAGTGCCACTTCACATGCAAGGGGAGTTCAAAGTAACTCTACCTATATAAAGATGTAACTATCAGCAGTACTTACAAATGGAAACAAATACATTTATTGTTATGATAAAAATCACCCTCCTGTTTGTATACATTTGTTATTTGAAAATACTTGAACCAAAGGTCAAAAAAATGCCATTTTTAACACAGATACAACCTGCATTATATAGGTAAACTGTGGTACAGAAAAGTCATACTAGCACTTAAATTAAGCTAAATGTCAGTTTCTTTACTGCCAGAGCAGCATTGTTTACATAATGATATTGCTGTAAATAGTTACATTAAAACATAAAATCAAACTGTTTATTAATAATGTGTCTAATCCTAAATTGATACTTGTAGAATCCAGGTCAGGTTAAAATTGCTGTTGGTTTTGTGTTATTGTAGAATCTGATGTTTGCTCCCCTTATTTTTAGAATAGTAGTACCGTTTTCTACTTTTCTGCTTTTTCTGAAAGTAGAACTGGGGTGGATTAGTGGATAATTGCATTGCTGTGATTGTAGCACCTGTTATTTCTTTTGATTGACTAGTTCAGTATTAAAGATTCCTACCAGCTAAAAGACTTTACCTTTTTACCCAGTGTTTTTTTTATTATCTTCTTTTGTCATGAATTGCTTTTGATTTAAAACAAAAACTTTCCCAGAAGAAAAATTCATAAATTGCAACTTTGAACATTTTCTTAAATTTCTATTGATTGGTTTGCCTTTCACCTTTTTATCAACTTAGCCTTTTATCAACTTAGCCTTAAACACTTCTTTACTTTTCCATGTCAATGGCAACATCCACTCACAGTAGGAATATAGCTTGAAGTTTCCCTGTTGTTGTTAGCCATTGAGTTTGTGTGTGCCATTCAATTTATAGGTACTAATAACTCTTCCCTAGAGAGCAGCCTTTCTAAGGAATAAGTGTCTAGGTGATGTAGGAATTAACTGCTTTGAATTATGGTTACAATTATAGATGCTAATAACACTGGGATTTTTACCATCATCTCACCACAAAAAGCAACTTGTTTGTGGGCTCTGGAGCATGGTTTATAATGCCTAAAGCTGTGTCTCTTTAATTCATTATTTAAAAGGGAAAAAATATAGAGTGGATATTTACTGTTCAAGGGTTTTCTTCAACTAGCTATTTGCAGCATTTGCTAGCTAACAAGTTTCCATGACTTTGGGTTCAATTCAGCAAACATTTCAGTTGACAGTTAGGAATAAAATCTATATAAATGCTAGCTCTAATAATAATATTTATTATTATTGTTATTAGGATGAGGATAGGAACTAGACCTATGATGTCATTGATAATAGGGAACTCCCAAATAGGAAACTCCATCTACCAATGCAGGTCTGCATCTTCTCCACAACTTGTAGTCTTAGAGTTACAGGAGCACTAAAAAGTTAAGTCACTTGTCCACCGTTGCATAGTCAGCATGTGCCTGAGGCAGAACTTCAGCTCATGTCGTCTTGGCGTTGAGGCTGGTTCCCTTGTTCACCACATCACACTGCCTCTCAAACTGACAATTCGTTTTAAAATTATCTTTCAAAAAGTGACGTATATATGATGAGTGCTACATGATTTATTTTGTTTTCAAGCAGTTAAGACTTGGCAGCATTCATGCTATAACTGAACTTTTTTGTGATGTTTAAAGTACAATTTGCTTCAACCAGAAAGAATTTGTCTGTTATTTTATATAAAACAAAAATGTTTTCCATGTTTTAAGTCTAGCTTTGGCATTTCTTTAAGCTTTCCACAGATCTTCTCCCTCTGTGTCATAAAAATGTGTATTGCCTTCCATCTGCCGTACTTGATTGTTCCTTTTCTTATTGCGATAGGTTTTTCATTTGGGGGTATGCTTGCTTCAGATGTATTGAGGCTTGCTTTAGTTCTGCCTAATTTGTGTATAAGCTTTAAATACAATAAGATAAACTAAAAGGTTTCATTTATAGCCTTCTGAAAGTAGAGCATTTTAAAAGCAGGTAGGTGTCTCCACCCTACTTTTCATGAAGCATTTTACCCATTCAAGCAGACTTTTAAAAACAGCTTGTTTTGATAGCAGACTGTTCTCCTGTGAGCCTTCAGCCTTTGCTTCCTGGCAGCACCTTTGGTGCGAAAAGAGAGTGATCAATTGGGAGACTATCAGTGCCAGCATGCATAGAGTGATAAGTTAACACACCACTGGGAATTTCTAGGGCCCACCAAGATACTTCACTTCTAATGTGCTAACAAGCTCATTTTTCTACCTCTTGCCTCTTCAGTTATTTTTTTTTTTCTCAGAAGAGCTTAGAAGTTGAGTGCATCAGGCATAATGAAAAGCTCTGTAGGAGGGAGAAGCAATAACCCCATTTTTCCCTTTTCAGCCAAATAGAAAATTAGTTTCTGGTAATACACAAAGGCCAGTATTTTTTGTACAAGGGGCACTGCTGTGAATCAAAGGACTCTATTAACTGCAGAAAATTCAGCAGCTGTGAATCTCCCCCAGTGAAAAAAGTACTTTCCAACAAGTTGTGAGATATGTAGTATTATTTAGATTGAACCATCAGTTTCATCCTCTTCCATTTATTAACCACATACTTTTTAAACTGTTATATTATTTTCCTATGTTAAGGTTTAATTATATCATCCAGTCATAAAATCCTTATTATTAAGCATTTTATACTGTACCTTGTGCTATTACTACTACTACTACTACTACTACTACTACTACTACTACTACTACTTACAACCCTTGCAAAAATAGGATTCTCTTGAAGTTCCATAATCCTCATAGTCAGAATTCAAAATAATAGAAATTCTAATTAATATTTGTGATGTGATATGAAATAACATGATATATTTTACCAGCTTCACTTTACTTCTCATTTGAAGGGTAAAAGACAGAACTTCTTAAGGTCAAGTGCAAGATGAATATGTAGTCTTTTTGTATTTACCCTTTGCTTTTTTTTTAAGTTATTAGCCTCCATAAATAGCTAACACCGTTTTCCATTGAGTTCCTAGTTCAATTTCAAGATTAAAATTTTTACTCTTGGTCATTACTAGAAGTTAGCATGATCACCAAAATTTAAAATATCTAATTGGTAATCAGCAAGGAAAGAAAGTATTAAAATGCTTTAATTTTTCTTGAGAAAAATTCACTGTGACAAACCAGTCAGAACATTTTTATTATCCTTTTTGCTTATTTAAATGTCTTATGTAAAGCCTGCCTTTATACATGTAGTACAGCAGGACAACTTTTAAGAGTTGTAGGAGAAAGGTTAACTGATTTCTCAGTTCAGGAACTATACGACATGAAATCAGCGTGCTAGTTTTTCCTGATAATTGTATGGTGCTGCCTGCTGTTCTACATTTTGACAGCCATTTCCATAGTTGCTTTCATGAACAACAGAAATATTCTCTCCCTTTCTTGCCCTTTCTGTGCTAACAGCACAATCAGGCCTGCTGAAATAGGAAGCCTGGAGTGGATTGTTCAGAAGCAACACTTCAAGATACTGGTCTCTTGTCAATAATATCAGGGAAGAGAATGTGGTGAAAGGGAAGTATGGTATTTTTCTGTCAGTTTCAGTGCCCTGCAGATATTTTGTTAGCCAGTGTTTAGGGATCCTGTATACTTTACAGTTATTTCTGATTGTCTCAGTGTTGTAATCAACTATTTTCCTGACAAAGATTTAGTTGTGCATTTATCTTAACTGATTGCAGTTATTAGTAATTTCATTTAAAATATAAAAAGTTATTGAGGCAGAAAAACACATTTTTTTAAGTATGCAAAAATTTTTTCACAATAAGTCTTTACAAGCAAACGTTAAACTTTTGGACATACTATTTTAAGCAGTATTATAAAACTTAATATGCTACTTTTCAAACTAAATTTAATCATTTCAAGCTAATTTAAAAATGTGGGTAAGTCCAGTTTGACCAGAAATCATTTGAATTCTTTTTCAAATATACCATGTCTTTAATACTTTTGTATATGTGATATCATTGTAGTTATTTAATAATATGTGCCTTTCCATTTATGTTAGTGTGCTGAAGAGTAGCCTAAAATTAAGAAGTATGCCTTTAATCCCCCCAAAAAAGCCATAATTTTGATGTGTGAATGTTCTGAAAATTATAGAATAAGTTCGGCCATGAAAATTATATTTATTGCTTAAAAGAAATATGTTGACATCAACAGTAGTCTTCATGGGCATTTTCTATTTAAATGAGCTGCATTTAAGTTCATCCTTAACTAGAGGAAAACAGCTATGAAGAGAGAGCACGGTACCTTCAATCAATTGTCCAGCACCACCTCGAGCCAACCACATTTGAGGATTTTGCTGCACAAGTTTTCTCTCCAGCTCCCTATCATCACTCAACATCTGATACAGGTAAGAACGCTAGAAAATATGGGTCCTCTCTTAGAAGTCATTCGAATTTGAAATGCAGTACCCTTTTTCTAAAACCCTAAAGATAATTGAAAACTTTATTTTGCCTGAAATAAATGACAATCACCGAAGTACCATCAGTTAACATGTATCACAATTTTGGCCTTTAGATTTGACTTATCATTTTGAATATCTTGAAACTAAAGATAAATGGCTAGAGGGAAGTTAAACTAGAAACACTGGTATTCATTATATACTCCACTAATATAGCAGAAAAGTTATGTGATAGCTCCAAGTTTCTAAAATTATTTCATAGTGCAGCTGCTTTAAATTGCTCACCAGTTTTTTTATAAAAGTCCAAGCACCATACTTCTATTGAACTAATAGAGAAACAGTGTATTTTATGAAAAATTATTAATATTTCTTTAAAGAAAATATAATTTGAGCTTGTAATCTCATAATTTATAGATGGTCAAATTTGGTAGTCCAAAAAAATTCAGTTATTATTCTGTATATTTTTTTAAATTCATAAAGCCAAAAAAATAAAACTAGCCTCAACTTAGAAATATTCAGTTTGGGTTTGTTTGTTTTTTTAAATATTAAAGTGTAAGAGGGTACTGCATTTTGCACAGTTAATTATATTTTAAAGAAATCAATATGAAAACAAATAACTCATCAATAACAGGCCACATCCTGTTCTGATAATACTTTGCACTCCTTATGATTGTTTCATTTATTTTATTTTCCCTCTTTAGATCATTAAATATCAGTTCTGTTTGTCTGAAGGTAAGACAGTGTACAAAACTCATCCTCTATTCTTTTACTCTTGTGTTTTTGTAACTAAAGCACTAAGCTTTTATAACTGAGGCATTTACAAACTTAATGCTTCCCTGGTCCACACTAAACATTTCAGAAGTTTTTACTAAATTTTCTCCAAAGTTAGTTTTTTACTAACCCCAGGTCTGCATGAAACACTAACACTGGTTCTGGGATAAAGATAACTAATGATAAAAGCTTTGGTTAAAATTATTGAATTCATTAGTGAAATTATCATATTGACCTTTTTGTTTCTCAGCATGAACAAGTAGTCTGAATAGATGGCATTGCTGTATACGTCTTTGCATCATTAATGACATCCCAAAGGAGCAGTAGAAGAAGAATACAAAAACAAAAAGAGTGAAATTCCTCACTGATAAACTTTGTTTTCTAAGTGTCAAATAAGTTCAGATGATTTACCTTAATCGAAGGAGGGAAGTAATATAGTTTGCTAAAGTATTTATAGAAATGTTGGATTAGAATTTAGCAAACATATTAGACTCATATCAAAATGGTCATTAAAAAGAAATCTGAGGGAAAAATTTTAAGCATTTTTAATGTATGGGCAAAATCTAAGGAAATGAGAATAATGTGAAAGTGAAGCATCATCTATCTAAGGAGAGATAAAAAGATCGATATTAGTTTTGGGCAGATTGATGATACCACTTGAAATTATTCTGTTTGGGTGGTAGAGGAAAGGTAAATGGAAGAAAATTATAAAAATAAATTAATAAATGAATCCATGAATACTAGTCACATATTTCTGACTACTTCATTGCATAGTAACAGAAAAGAATTTTTGATGAACTATCAAACCATCTTACTTAAAATAGATGATGACTTTTGGCATGGCAGATATTTAACCCACAATTTTACCAAAATAAAATGAGACTGAATTTTTTTAATGATTCATTAGGATACAAAATAGACAACATTAGAAATAATTCATTTTAGAAGACACTTGGGGAATAGAACTATTCTGTTTAATGAAACATAAAAAATTTTTCTTCGTAGGTGAAAAGGTATTTTTCATTTAAATACTGACATTGCCAAAAATATTTTCACGTAAAATATTGTATGTTTAAGTCAATAAAATTATCCTAGAAGATTAAACATTTGGTTAAAGCAATCCTCAGTTCAACATAATGAAAGAAAAATAAAATGAATTACTCCTTTATATCCCACCCCCCAAAAAAAGAAAATGACAAAGCTGTGATCTCTTGGATTTTTTTCTTTTGATCTCACCCCTTTAGAATTGTTCTACCATAGCACTTACCAACCTCCTACTGAAGCCATAAGGGATAGTGCAAGAGAGGATATACATAATAAAAATTAAGCTAAAATAATGGTTACCCACCAGCCTGCAGATTTCAAAAGCAGTGATTAGCTGAAGTATTAGGATTTGGAGTTTTTGTTTTGTTTTAACCTAAAATTTGTTGAGTGTATACATAATTGGAATTCATAAATATCTTTAAGATACTATATGCATTCATAATAAAATACTTAACATCTGTTACAATAAATCCTTGTAAAAAATTAAATTCATTGTGATGTATAATTTCTGATCATCTCTGTCCTTTAACCAAATTCTTTATTGGTGATAAAATGTGCTTTTTACTGGTTTTAAACATTTTAAAAATAGTCATGTTAGACATTTAAACCCAAATCAGTATTTTAGCCTGATTTCTCAAAATGGGTTCTTTCTAATCAATAGATTGATATTTAAGAGTAATTATTTTTACACCTAAAGTCATTGAGGAGCTAGTGTGATGTCGTGCTCTGTTGGTCTTCCAGTAGCTAGATTAAAGCATTGTTAGATTTCTTCTCATCTTTTATTTTTTTAAAGTATTATGGGAAAAATATTCCTTTTACCTTCACCTTAGTCATCTGACACATAAATGGAAATTCTCAAAACCTTTGGTATTTCTATTTAAAGAATCCAAAATTTTATGTCAAAACAGTCAATTTATATACCAATTTCTATGTAAAGACTTTTCTGTTTCAATAAAATTTGATATACCATTAGAGTAACTGTAATTCAGATTATTCTAGATAAAATGTTTTATTTTATAATTAAAGTTATTCTTGTCTATAATAGTGGAATGGGATAAATTATCCTATCCAAATTTTTCAACTTTGAAATTTTTCTATATTTTAAAAAATATTCTACCTTGTCTTGTGGCAATATGATTTACATTTTGCTTAAGCAAATATTTTGATCACATGTCAGTCGGTTTTAATGCTGAAGACACTAAACTTTTTGTTGTTTTTTTTAGTACCCTTTTGGAAAACCGTGAAACTTCAGGTTGTTGTCGTTTTTTGTTTTTTGGGGTTTTTTTTTTGGTTGTTGTCATTTAAGAACACTGTATGAGTAACATTACAATTAATTTTATAACTTGAAAGTTTATTTACTTACCTCCCTTCAGGTCAAGAGTTAGGTCAAGAGTTTTTAACCTTTCTTGTGTTATGGTCTTTTCAGCAGTCTGGTGAAGCCTGAGGTCTCATAGGGCTATAAATGAAATCAAATATATTAAAATAAAGATGTTTTTCCCTATTCTAGTTCACAAACCATCTATAGATGCTAGGTTAAGAATTCCTGGTTTAGATTGAAAAGCTATGAATATAAAAAAAAATCCCTAGAAACACATAACTTGAGATTTTAGAGGGACCTCAGAAACCATCTACGTACAGGAATCCCCACTATAATACATCCAACCTTTGCGATTGTTAGGAAGTTTTTCCTAACATCAAGCCTAAATTTGCTTCTTTGCAACTCCTAGTTCTGTACCCTGAAACAAAAGAGAACAAAGCTAATCCCTCTTCCCCATGATGTCTCTTCAAATACTTAAACACAGATATCATATCCTCCATTGAGTCTTCTTTTCTCCAGGCTAAACCCGTCCAGTCTGATCTTCATATGTCATGGACTCAGAGCCCTTCAACATCTAGGAATTTCTCCAATTTACCAATGTCCTTCTTAAACAGTGGTGGCAAGAACTAACATAATACTCTATATGAGTTTTGCAGAGAGCAAAGTACTGTGGGTCTACCTCCCTCATCCTAGAAGTTATGCCCCTCGATACAGCCCAGCATCACATCGGATTTTTTTTGGTTGCCACATTATATTGCTAACTCATTGAACTTGAAGTACAGTTTTAAAAAAGGCAGATCCTTTTCTGAACAACTGATTTTATCCTTGCCTCCCCCATCTTATATTTGTGGTGTTATTTTTGTTGCACTTGAGTGCAAGAATTTACACTGATCCCTGTTGAATTTTATCTCATTAAATTGTACCCACTACTCTTACATGGGTCTTTACTGTCATCTACTCTGTTGTCTATCTTATTCCTTCTAGCTTTGTGTCATCTACAAATTTGTTCAGCATACTATATAGATATTATTTCTGTGCTACGTAGTATGTGCTGCCTTTATTGAAGTCATTGATAAAAGATGGCAAAGAGGCAAGGACAGATCCTTTGAGTACTCTGAGGAACTCCTGCCATATGGACATTGACTCATTAACAACTACTCTTTGAGTCCAAACATCAAACCAGTTCTGACTCTATCTGTTAGTATTATCATCTGACCTATCTCTCTCCATCTTCTTTACCTGAAGATAAAATATGAGATATTTTATCAAAAGTGTTGCTAAAATCTACACAAACTATATTTACAGCATTGCCCTCAACAACTACTTTAGTAATCCTTGAAAAAGGAAAATTAGGTTAGAAAAGGAAATTAGGTTATTCTGGTATAACCTATTCTAGATGGAACCATGCTGGCCCTTTGCAAGCACCACTTCCTTTTCCAGATTTTGGGCATCTATCGTTAATGATCTCTTCTAGATTTTTCCAAAGAATCGAAATCATACACAGGCCTCTTGTTTGCAGACTATTCTCTTCCCAAAATTGAGACATTTGCCCTTTTGCAATCTTGTGGTACCTTTTCTGTTTTCTGTGATCTTTGAAGTATCATGGATAGAGGCTCCAAAATCATGTCTGCCAGTTCTTTCAGGACTAGAGGATTTAGTCTCTCAGCTAAGGGTCTTGCATTCATCAAGGACAGGTAGATACTCTCTTACTATCTACATATTTATCTTGGGTTATCAACTCCCATTAGCCGTTTTTGTGCTATCATTTCACATGTAAAGTTCATTCTTCTTTGCAGACAAAAAAATAATGAGTTAG